CGCGCCCTTTCGGCACGCCCGTCACACGTGTCGCGCCCCTTCGGGAGCTCCAGCTGAGGTCGCAGTGTGTGCGAGCGCACGGCGCATGGCGCCGCCGCGCCCCCCCCCCCCGGCGGCACGCAGTGCATGAAGTCAGAGCCACGCCCTGCGCTACACGCAAATGCATAGGGTTGGGTTCTTTGCCGGTCTACTTTTTCAATGTGCTGGAGGAGGAGGAAGCGTGGGGTCTGAGACGGCAGGCCCCAGAGGGCGGACAACATTCAATACTCTGCACGATTTCCCGCGTGCCGAACCTGACGCCGCAGCGCTGCAAGCCGTCCGCGTCGCACCTCGCGTCCACCTCCGCGGGAACGGTCAACATCGAATCGATCAACCGCGTCAGATCGGATCGTGCGTCCAATTGGGCCGAACCGGCACGGCATCGCAATAGGATCGAATCGGCCCCGCCAAGATACACAACCAAGCCGTGCAACGTCGGGCCGCAGCGGATCGCCCGAGCATCGAGGCCGCAATCGGATCGAGCAGGGCGAATCTGGCACCGACTCGGACCGATCGCGTCGACGCGGGCCCTGCCTCCGCCACCATCGCCTCGAAGTCGTCCCTGGCTTGCTGCTTCGGGCTCACGGCGTCGTCCGCCGCGCCCGCCTGGCGCTCCTGCTTCGCGGGCTTGGCGGCCGACACCGTGCCGAAGCCGCCCGACAGGAAGTTCATGGCCCCGCGCGCCGCTTTGAACGGGCCGGCTGTCGGGTGAGGGCCCGTGCCCGAACGGTGCGTCGGCGGCTCGCCCCGATCCGAGAAGCGACGGCGGGCCGCCGTGTCCTCGCGGCCTCTCCTCGCGGCTCCTCCGCTCCATGCCGCTGCTGCTCCTGCTCCTCCTCCTTCGACTCTTCTTCTTCCTGCTGCTGCTGCTGCTGCTGCTGCTGATCCTGCTGCTCTTCCCCACCTCTCCCTACTCCACCCCCTCCCCCTCTCCATCCTGCTCCACCCCCTCCCCCTCTCCATCCGTCTCCTCCCCGTCCTCATCCTTCGAAGCCACGTGGTCCAGGGAGAGCCTTGCTCAACCCTGTCCAAAAAAGCAAAACAACACATTTACCATTGGTGCATCGATTGCCTCGACCACCAGTCCTCAGGGACAAGTCGGCGATGGAAGACAAGGCAGCGGCAACACCGTTGTCTGCTGCAGCTACTGCGGCTGCTGGTACTTACTCCCAGTGGCCAGGGACTGCGTCTTGCATCCTTGGGCCCCCGCTTCTTCAGCTGCCGTATTTCGCTGTTCGATGGGAGGAGGACGTCAAGATACCTCAACTGAATGACTGTGCTAGCAACGCTGGCCCACACCGCATGCACAACCATGCAAGGGTTACAGTGGTAACCACGATGGTTACCCGCATGATGTGTTGAAGCCTTGATGCCAAGGCAATCCCTATACCATCTTGAAGAGTAGGGGGCGGAGTGAAACGCTGAGTCGTGGCCGCCATCTCGCTACCTCTTCTGTTGCAGAACACATGTTGCCTCCACCCGTTGAGATAACGGGAATTAGTCTTGGGAGCCGATTGAGTCTCCCAATCATCTCATAGGTGGGGGGCGCAACATCATAATGCTGGTCTTGGCAACGAATACATACCTGTATAACCTAGCTTGACTGAATTGTTGTTTATCGCTTTGTTATGCTGTTGTCTGTTTGGTTTTTTTTCCCAACGCCATGTTGGGAGGAGACGGAGGAAAGCTGAAAGGAATGACGCGCAACGAATGCCTGCACTATCGACCACATAACTGGCGATGGCCCCGAACCCGGGGGTCGTTTAGGGCGGTTGCACTTGAAAAAGACAATCCCGGCTCAGAGACGCAACGCAATGAGGAGGGGAGGAAGAGGAGGAAGACCATGGGGAGGAAGAGGAGGAGGACGAGGAAAGAGTGGGACCTGGGGCCAACATACAATTTCTATATAAAGCACGCAACGGAGGCCAGGCGCAGCTCCGTACAGCGAAAAAACAGTATCGCTCTGGACCCGAGCTGGGGGAAGGAGGGCGGCGAGGAGGAGAGGAATAGGAAGAGGAGTACAGACTCACGAAGTGAAAACTCACACATCCAATATGGAAATCGCGGGGAGGCAGCCGCCAGCGAAGCAGTGCCAGGTCAGCGCGGCACATCTGAAGCTGAAAGCATTGCATGTGTTACATCTTCGCCTCTATGCAGCTCAACCCCAACGAAGGCCGAATGCCCTGCAGCACCAGCAAACTGTTGGATGCCGTGAAGCACTGGCCCCGAACATCGCTTTGATTAGCGCTCCCTCGTCGCTCACTTGGGCAACCGCCCATCCAATGCGAGCGACTCTAGGGCAATCGGTGTGATCTCATGAGCCATCGCTGCACAGCCAGCCCCTAGACGATACAGTGAAAGGTTCCCATGAACCCGAAGGTTCCCCGTGCACCACAACACAATCGTCAATCGACTGCTCCTCGATCTCTGGGGTGGGGGCAATGTGCAAATCGGAACACAGAGGGTCGTGCAGACCCGGGTGGCCCGGACATCCCGAGTAGGGACCTCTGGAGATTGCCTGTTCGGAGGGCTCCTGTCAGCAGAAGGCTTGGCAGCGCGGGGCAAAGCATTTTCAAGGGAACGGGGCACACCACTGGTCTGGACTTACAGACTTGGGGCTACCCTTGCGACGGCCATTGCCCGTATTGCGCAGCTCCGGGTTCGGTGTACAATTTTTGCGTGGTGCTGCCGCCAATTTGAATCTGATAAGGAGAGGTGCACCTCAGGCCTGCACAAGCTGGTCGGCTGTGGTGTTTGGCGTCTCATGGTTCGAAGATAAATGAGTGTCATCTGAGTGTCATTGCGAGCTATCAAGATGGCAGGGTTCATGAATGACCGACCAACCTCTTCAAGCCAAAAGTACACCTCAGACATAAGGCCGACTGTTTCCTTCAACCAACTACTCTGCTATAGTGCGCTGGAAACGCCTGCTTCGCAGCGTGGACATCACCAGGCAGCTCTCTCACCGTCAAACCACCGCCGTTCATGATGGAAAGGCCTGCAACTCTCCACTACTCGAACACTACTTCTACCGGCCCCCAACTTCAACTGATGCCGCTGCCAACTCATGTTTAAGGAGCATCCGCCGTTTTGATGCCTAGGGATCGGTCTCGTGCTCGGCGAAGAAGTCTAATTTTGTAAAAGGGGCACCCAATGACCTCACCACTTGTGCGGTCGACGTTTGGATTCTTGAGAAGAGCCCTCTAGCCTTGGCTCGCTGTGGATCTCGTAGTTCCTAAGGCTTCAGCATGAGAAGCTTAACCTGGCTCTTTCTACGCTTCCGTTTAGCTCTGACTCCTTTCCTCAACCTATGTTTGAGTGGGCCGACATCAGTGCCAAAATTCTCTGGAAAACCCTGAGCTTCTCCCGCCTGGTCTCCCAGCGCATTCCGAGCCGTCTCGTCGAGGGGCTGGCTATTCGCAGTCGCATCAAACTTATGGTCAGCTAAAGAACCACAAACCACAACCTGAATGTGCGCGCTGGCGCCACAGCCGCGCTCTTCATGGCAGCCACGCGCACGTGCATGCTATTATTGTTTATTGTCGTTGTTCGCAGAAGTGTAGTCGATATCAACGATCCACGATAACTTGTCTCTCTGGTGAACCGCGTGCCAGAACTCCAGGCTCGGGAACGCTTACGCTATGGCCTGGCACGTGCCGTGAAAACACCAGCTCCCGCGATTTCGCCAACGATTTTTCTGATTTGTCTCTTCTTTCGAACACGGCTGCACGGCGACCTCCGCGGAGACCTCAACCTACCTCCGAGAACCTCCTGGAGACCTCCGGGGAGGATGAGGAGGGAGGGGAGGGGAGGAGACACGAAAGACGGAGGGACGAGCGAGTCAGCGCCACTCTGGCCCTACGTTGTAGGCCGCGGCGGGTGAGGAGAAGAGAGTCCACACATGATTTGGGCTCGTTCGAAGAGTAAGAACATCGAGGGGTTTAGATGGACGTTGGAAGGATGTTTAAGCGACCACTAGAAATGACCGTCTCGAGGTAACATCCCGAAACTATTGTTTTTATCTCCGTCTGGCCACCCCTGCGTTTCCAGTGTTCACTGATTCTTCGGTGGGGTAGACTGTAAGCCATTCATTTTCACACAACGTTGACGGGAACAGTGTGTCGTCTGTTTCGATGTCGGACGACAACGGCGCGCATCGCATAAGAATCCCACAGGTCTGTATGAGGGACCCCGTGCTCATGCGTTTTGCATACTGTTCGCCTCCGATTCGGCTTCTGGGACTCTGCCCACGTTGGAGTCCAGTTGGAGCTAGTATCCGCCTGCTCCGACCACCGAGTTGGAGTCCACCGAGGCCGACGCCTGCTCCCCTTGTCGTTGTCACCCTCAAGGGTTAACCTTGGTTGCGGCATGCCACGGCTACATGTAGCAGAGCTGGGCCTCTCAAGCCGTGTCCCTCTCAATCGCCCCGCCGTCAGAGAATGACGCGCTGGCGGGTCGCAGCGACGAGAGCAGCAGCGCAGCTCTGGCATCCCAGCGTGGGACGAGCACCGTGGCGAGCAGCGCGGCTGTGCACAGTACGCCGGCGGTAAGCAGCACGACGTCCTACTGCGCTGTGGAGAGCAGCAGCGTGACTCGGACATCCAGGAGTGGGACGTGCAGTGTGGCGAGTAGCACTGCTGTGAGACTTACGCCGACGCCTAGCAGCGCGACGCCCGGCAACACAGCGGGGACCAGCAGCACGGCTCTGTTATCCAGGACTGGGACGTGCAGTGGTGTGAGCTGCGAGGCTGTGGGCCGCTCGGCAAGTCAGAGCAGTAGTCCCCCTCCTTTCCTGTGCCTCCTCCTTTTTCGGTACCCAGGCCGCCCAGGCCCTGGCTCGCCTCCCAGGTCTCTGGCCCTCGGTTCGGTCATGTGGGATTGGGGATTTGGACTCCGCCAGGGAACGGTGGCCACGCTGTACAAGCAGTCCCTCCTCTCGCCTATGCTGCGCGGCACACCTGGGCATCCCTATCTATCCGGTGTCCTACCGATGGCCCCACCCTTCGCTGGGAGCCCGTGCTCTGCGCGCCGCGGCCTCGGCCAAGCGGCGCAACCCGGGAAGAACACGGCATGGACAGGACCTCCTCGGAATCGACCTTTCCACACGCTGGTACATCCTTCTCGAAGAGGGCTGATGATGATGAGGCGGAGGAGGAGGAGGAAGATGATGCTGAGGAGGAGGAATACGAGTTTTTCTCATCAGCGATCCCACAATTCAACTCCTCACTGTGAGAAATTGGTGACCAAAAGCAACGCCACCTCAGGCGAAATTGCACAAGGAGACCTTGCTCGCCGGGCCTGAACCCGCGCCTGCAGCGCCGCCATACCTGGAGTCTATATCAAACCAGGTGACGACGCAGGAAGGCCGACATCGCGAGGGGGTGGCTGTTGAGCAGCATCGCATACGAATGGCACCCCTCTCCGCGAGGTCCTGCTCACCTTGTGCTTCTCACGGCAGTGAGGGTACACACCCAAATCACTTCGACGAAACATCGTGGGAGCACCAGACACATTTTTCTGATTGCGCTCCTTAGCGAGAAAGACAATCAGTGGAAGATGACGCTCCGCATACCGTGCAAAAGAATAGTGGCAGCTGCTTGTCCCCTTTTTCCAGGGTGCTGTGGGCCAGAGAGGGAGGCGAGGCGGAGGAGCAGGAGGAGCAGGAGGAGGTTGAGCGTGCCTGGAAATGTTACGTTGTTACGATAACTTATCTCGGGTGATTATCTGCAGGAGGAGCAGCGGCAGCCGCAGCAGGAGGAGGACAAGGACGAGGATGAGAAGGGAGAGGAGGAGGAGGAGGAGGAGGAGGAGGAGGAGGAGGAGGAGGAGGAGGAGGAGGAGGAGGTGGAGGGGAGGAGGAGGAGGAGGAGGAGGGGAGGTCGAGGGGAGGAGGAGGAAGGAGGAGGAGGAGGATGAGGAAGAGGAGGAGGAGGGAGGATCGATGGACTGGTCGAACTGTCGGGCCGATGTCTGGGGTGACTCCTTCTCTAAGTTAGAGCAGAGTGGCAGTTAGAAAATCTAGTTTGGCCTAGCTGTTGTCCCTTCGTAAACTGGGGGGAGCAGACGCCACCAAGGCGCTCAGGCCCTGCGTGCACCGTCCATCCCCACGCACTCACTGAAGTTTACTGCCCTCTCGCTTGCCTCTCCCCGCCCATGCTCTCAGTGTCGCTCTGCCCCTCATCTGCGCTGGCCGTGTCTCCCTGCAAGACTCCGCGTGGTCCGATCATTCGCACGATGTGTCCGTCGCCGTTTCTCTCGGAGACTCGGATGTTGGTCCACGCTGTGATGTCGCCTTGAGCGACTCGTCGAGCCTGGCGTGCAGCCGCGAGTCCTTGACTTCGTAGCCCTCCGCGATGCGTCTCGCCTCGATGTCGTATATGAGATCTGGGAACCCGCTCGGGATCTCGTGCCCTCGAGGCCATGTCTCGCGGTCCTCTTTATCTTCGCGCCCCTGCGCGCCCAGCGTCGTGTCCTGGTCGTCGTAGTTCAGCTGTTTCCCGTTCGCTGTGGTCGGGGTGCCAAGCGCCTCCTCCTGGTCCACGTGGCAGGCGTCTCGGCTATCTTCGCGTTGTCGCTTGCCCAGCGTCGTGTTGGAGACCTTCTTATCTTCGCGCCCATGCGTGCCCAACGTCGCGTTCTGGTCGTCGGAGCTCAGCTGCTTCTCGTGCGTCGCGGTGTACTTTTTGCTCGGCTCCTTCTCCTGGTCTGCGAAGCTCGGCTCCCCCTCGTCGGTCGTGGTGGCCTTGATGCTCGGCAGCTCGTCCTGGTTAGCGAAGTTCTGCGGCTTCTCGTGCGCGGTGCCGTTGTCCCCGGGCTTGTCGCAGTCGTCGGTCGCGGTGCGTGTTGCTGCCCAGCGCTTCCTCCTGAGTTGCGAAGCTCTGCTGCTCCGGTGTCTCGATGTCCTGCGTGCCCTCTGTTTCGTCCTGGTCTGCGAAGCTCTGCTGTTTCTCGCGCGTCGCGGCACCTTTGGTGCCCAGCGTCGTCTCCTTGCTCGGCGGCTCGCCCTGTGACCCCGCGCCGTCTCCTGGCCTGCGAAGCTCTGCTGTTCCAGCGTCGCGGCGTCCTGTGTGTCCAGCGTCTCGTCCTGGTCTGCTGCGAAACCCTGCAGTTTCTTGTGCGTCGTGGTTTCCTCGTTGCGCAGCGTCCCGTCCTGGTCGTGGCAGTTCAGCTACTTCGCGTGCGCCGCGGTGTCCTTCGTGCTCAGCTCCCCCTGGTCTGCGAAGCTTTTCTGCTCCATATAGGTCGCGGCGCCCTTGGTTCCCAGCGTCGTGTCCTGGTCAGCGTGCTTCAGAAGCTTCTCCCGTGCGGTGTCTTGCGTCTCGCCTTCGCAAGCCGCGGAGCCCTTGTTGCCCAGCGCCGTCCCCTGGTCTGCGACGCTCTGTACTCCCGGTGGCGGCCCCGGTAGGAGTCGGCGCAAAATGTTTAGAGACGCTGGTGATTCCCTTGCATGCGTGCATTGAGCACGGAGTCGTCGTCGCTGGCTGGGCGTCCGTCGGGAGCAGGACGCCTCTTGGGTCGCACCTGCGGCCGGCACGCGCGAGAGGCTGTCCATGCAGTGCCATGCAACCCCACCAGCCCTCTGGGCTTAGGTGGTATAGCGCGTTTTTTTTCTTCTCTCTTCCACTGGAACCCCTCCCCCTCCCCCCTCCCCTGGGCTTGGACGGGGCGCGCCGCGAGGCGTTAGAGCGTCCAAGATGGCCCAAGATTGCTCCAAAAGGCGTTCAAAGTCGCACGATGGCCTCCCAGATGGCCCATGTTACTTCAAGATGGGTCAAGATAGCCTCCGACATACCCCCAAGAGGCCCCCAAACAGCCCCAAGACGGATCCAAGTGCCCTTCGAGCCCTCCACGGCGCTCTCCAAGATGCCCAAGCCCTTCAAAAGCCTGGGGAAAATCAATGTTTTTGGCATTCTCGCCGTTTCGCTTCCGATGGGCTTTGGAAGCCTCGAGATGGCACCATGATGGCCCAAGAGGGCCCCAAGAGGGGTCCAAGAAGGCCGAATACGGCCCCAAGATCGCCCAAGAGGCGCCCAAGAGCGCTCCAAGACGGCCCCAAGACGCCGTTTGAGAGCCTCCGATGGGGGAGATCCTAATTAAGGCACCTCCTCTTTTGAGACATGGGCACACGATGGCCCCAAGAGGCCCCCCAGCCTCTCCCAAAGACCCTCCGCCCCGCCCTTTTTGGCCCAAGATAGCTCCGAGAGAGCCCTAGATAGCCCAAGATGGCCTTCAGCATGGCCTAGCCAAGCATGGCTCAAGATAGCCTCCGACAGACCTCCAAGAGGCCTCAAGGCAGCCTCACGATGGCCCAAGATAGCCGAGCATGGCTCAAGAGAGCCTCCGACAGCCTCTAGCCGAGCATGGCTTAAGATAGCCTCCAAAGAGGCCTCAAGAAAACTGGCAATCAATTCGGGATGGGCAGGTGGGGGTACTTTTTTGGTTCGCGGCTCCAAGGCGAGGGACAGGGAGCGGGCGCAACGTCCGGGGCGCGGTGCGATGTAAATCGGCCGCTGTGGCGTATGCACATGCCAGGGACAAAATGCTTCTCATTGAGACGCAAGACAGCGTCGGCAGGTGACCGGCCCAGACATCCCGACAGGTGGGGAAGCAAGGGCGCGGCGACCGGCAGCGGAACGGGGGGGAGAAGTCGCCCTTGCGGCGCCAAGCTCCAGCCGAACCACATTCGGAAGCGAGGCCCAGACGGACAGCGGGGCACTGTAAAGCCGCAGGCAAAACGCGGATCCGAATAGCCAATGACCAAGCGAAGCCCACGTGCGTGCACCCAGGGACAGGCCGTCCAAGACCTCGGAAAAGAGAGGGGGGAAAGTGCGAGCGCGAGCGACTAACTCAGACTCACTGCAGCACCCCGGGTAAACGATGGTGCGGCGAAAGAGGCCTGATTCATCAAAGCTCACTGAAGCTGAGGTGTGGCTGATCCGCGTCAGAGCGCCATCCAGTAGAGGAGGACCACGGGTGTGCGTTCACGAGGCTGAGCCACCTCCAGCCGGTAGCCAGTGCGTGCACATCGTATCCGACTCACGCAGTTCGGGGGCACAACGATGCAAAGTACTGACGAGGGCTGGTAGCTGGGGCTGCTCTGAAAAGGAGAACGACCACGAACTGCAGAAGGCTGAACCACTCAATGCAGGGCCCCTCACTTTACGAAACCAAACACCGGGTGTCACCGAGTGTATGGCTGACGGCCGCACCCACTCCACACCTGCCACGCTGCCCGTGCGGAAGCCGAATACCCCGACGCCGGTGGCGAGACGATGGCTGGAGGCTACCGAGCTGCTGGGCCGTACCGCTCGTGGGCGGCGTGCTGACGGCGGGCCAAAACGTCCTTGTGGTAGAATCATGGCCGGGTTGGCGACGGACCGGGGCGGGTCTCAGGCAGGAGGGGGGCGCAGCCAAAAGCCGCTGAGCACCGGTGTCAATGAGGGGTGTCGGGGCACCATCCAATAAGAGACCACTGGTGTGCGTGCACGAGGCTGGCAACCACCAGCAGGTAGCCGGTGCACTTACATCGTATCCGACTCAGGCAGTTCGGAGGCACAACGATGCAATGTCCTGGCGAGGGCTGGGGCTGTGGCTGCGCCGATTTTTTTTTTTTTTTTTTTTTTTTTTTTTTTTTTTTTTTTTTTTTTTTTTTTTTTTTTTTTTTTTTATATATATATATATTATTATTATAAGTTTTTTGGCTTGTGGGGATACGCGAAGCGTCAAGAATTTCTGCCATGCGGGCTCCCGTCCAGTCAAGTCTTCCTCCACACGCTGTGGAATGGCTGGGTGGGAGCGCGCGCTGCCCTGACAATCTCTTAGGCCCAGATGTCAGCTGGAGGAGGAGGAGGAGGAGGAGGAGGAGGAGGAGGAGGAGGAGGGGAGGAGGAGGAGGAGGAGGAGGAGGAAAGTGGGAGAGAACCCTTTCTCTTGGAATCGGTCTTTTCTCTCCCTGGTGCGCCCTCCTCGCTGCCACCCCCCGCCCTCCCGCGGCCCCTCGTCGGAGAGCACGGCCCCCAGACAAGAGCGCCGGCGACAGACCGGCCGATCCCACAGCGGGCTGCGGGCGGCTCCCAGGACGGGGTGTAGCACAGGTCGGGGGGCCGCCACCGCTTGCGGCCCATTTGTCTGACCTGCGCCGGCGATCTCCCCCCCCCCCCACCCCCCTCCCCCCCCCTCCCTCCCCCTCCCTCCCCCTCCCTCCCCTCCTCCCTCCCCCTCCCTCCCCCTCCTCCCCCTCCTCCTTTCCCCTCCTCCTCCCCCCCCCCTCCCCCCACTCCCCCTCCCATCCCCCCCTCCCCTCCCCCTCCCCCCCCCCCTCCCCCCTCTCTCCCTCCCTCCCTCCTTCCTCCTCCTCCTTCCTCCCCACCCCACTACCCCTCCCTTCCCTCCCCCTCCCCCTCCCCCCCCCCCACCCCCCCCCCCCCCCCCCCTCCCTCGCTCCATTCCTCCCTCCTCCTCCTCCTCCTCCTCCTCCTCATCCTCCTCCTCCTCCTCCCGCTCCCCCTGGAGCCCCACCCCGCTGCTTGCCCCCCACTCTTCCACTCTTCCCCCCCCTGTGTCTGCGGCCCTCCAGAAGGGTGCCCAGGAGGCCTCCGGAGGCGTGAACCCAGAAGGGGGGGCAGAACGTCGAATAAACCTGGGTCATCCTCTGCCTCGTCCTCGTCCTCGTCCTCCTCCTCCTCCTCCTCCTCCTTTTTCTTCTTCTTCTCCTCCTCCTCCTCCTCCTCCTCCTCCTCCTCCTTGGTTCCCGTGCTGCCACGCATGGCGAGTCCAAAATTGGGAGGAGGGAGGTGGTAATCAGCGGGGGTGATGCTGTGTGTCGGGAATGACTCCGTTGGTTCTCGCTTCCCCAGCTGATTCTCATCTCACTCCCCTGCTTGAATGCTCTTTCTCCCGACGAGGTGATAGGGCAGCAATTGCAGGTTATCGCGTATAATGTCGCCAACTTGTCTTGTTCAGGTTTTCTTGTGGAGTGAGTGTGGGAGCGTCTGGGCGGTCTGCGACTGAGTGAGTCTTAGCATGGGTGGCTGCATTGGGTGGGTGCTACCCCTCCTGCACTACATGTGAATGTGAGAATGGGCTGGTCTGAGTATGCTGAATGGTGACGAAAGGGCGGAGGAGGGAACCAGGGAGGGATGCGGAGGCGTGACACAAATAGCAAGAAACCAGCTCAGATGAAGACTCAGTTGCACGTGTGGCCTGGCTCTAGCGCGAGGGAACACGAGGGCCAGGATGGTCAGGAGGAGTCTCTTGAGGCTATGCTCTCCTGGGACCTTCTCTGGGCCCTCCCGAGGCCACATCGGGGTCCCTCTTCGGCTCTCCCGGGGGGGCCCTCTCGAGGCCGCATCGGGGTCCCCTCGGGCGTCTCGGAGTCCTCTCAGAGGCCCCGGGGCCCGCCTGGGATCGTCCTGGGGCCACCTCCTGGGGCGGCCTTGGGACGTCCTGGAGCCGCTCGGGCTGCCCCCGACGGCCCCCCGGGCGGTCGGGCAAGGCGCCTCGGAGGGCCCCGAGACGGCCCCACGACGGCGACAGACCGCCCAGGAGGGATCCAAATACGACTCGCGACTGCCGCCGCCCTTCTCCGGAGGTTTCTCAGAGAGGCCTCGAGGTCTTCGGAGCCCCCGTGCCTTCAGAGGCCCCCCGAAAGCAAAAGCGTTGAAACTAGCACAAGGCGGCCCCAAGACCGCCACAGAGGTCTCGCCTCCTCCAAGGTGCCTTTGCGACTTCCTTGCTTCTCCGGATTTTGAAATGTACGTATGCGGAAGTCACTGTTGTGTCTGCTTCTATTCGCAAGCATGCTCAACAAGCCCCCGAGAGGCGCCACAAAGTCCCTCCTCCACCTCCCCCTCAATTTGATCATTCTCGCCTTCCTTCACCTCCTCGCCATACTCACCATACCAAACTATCACGTTAAGCCCAGTGGGAACTTCATGGCACAGCACTGCGCACCAGCGGCTTGTCGTAGCCCATCATGGGATGCCGTGCCGTGCCAAGTTCTAGCACGGCACGGCACACAACACGACGCCCCGCCGTGGCGCTCGGCTGACTCATGGGGGACACACCGCCCGCAGGGGTACAGGATTCGCACGGCTGTGGCTGCTGCCCGCAGGTGGGCACGAGCGAGCCGGCGCAAAGGCGGGCCAGAGCCGTGACCTCACGCCTCGGGTGCCTCTCGTGGCCCGTCGGAGGCACACAGCGCAGCACAACACAACACGTTCTGTTGCGCACCACGTGAAAGACGGCAGCGACGACCGCGGTACGGACCTGTTCTGGGACCTCACCAGCGCCTTGACTGTGCAGCTGTGGCCACGAGGGCGCCTCCGAGAGGCCCAACAGGGGCCCTAAGCGTCCAAAAACGACGACGACGACGATGCCTGGCGCCAACGACGATGCCTGCTGGCCCGCCGCCGCCGCCGACGACAATGAATACCCAGCGGGGGCCCGCTGGCCCGCCGACCGCGCGCGTGCCCCTCCGACGTCGTTTCGATCCTGCTGCTGTGTACATATGCGTAGGTGCATGATCATCAGGCTGCCTTCGGACCCCTCGGCCCCTCACAGCCCTTCCCCGGGGGCCAGCTTTTTCATCCTGGGCCATGCTCGGACCGTCCCTGGAGACGAACAACCAAAGATAACCGCCAGCATCGAACAAAGACACGACGTTGGAGGTCTGGGCCACGGGCGGATGTCCCAGGTACCCGGTGGAATGATGCTTTCGTTTCGATGCGGGGTCCCTGGAAGCTCCGGCCCTCTCCTTGGGGGGGACGGGAGAGTAGGATAGCAAAGGGTAGGATAGAAACTCACATCTCTTCACGTCGGCGGCGAGGCAGAATGGCTGCGCCAGCGAAAGAGCTAAACGGGGGCACCGAAGAGCGAGTTGGGCAGCATGCAGGCGGGAGGGGGGGAAGAGACGGGGCTATTATTCAGAGGCGGAAGCCTTCCGTCCCGAGTGAGCTGGCGCGGCCAGCCCCGTCAGCGGAGACAGACAAACCACGCACGCAGCTGCTCTTCCCAGCGCCGGAAGGCGCCCGTGCATCGAGGAGTGGGCCCGGCGACGGGGCGGAAACCAGCGGCGACGGGGGGCGATGACCACCTCCCCCTCCTCCTCCTCCTCCTCCTCCTCCTCCTCCTCCTCCTCTCCTCCTCTCCTCCTCCTCCTCCTCCTCCTCTCCTCCTCCTCCTCCTCCTCCTCCTCCTCCTCCTCCTCCTCCTCCTCCACACCCCTCCTTTTCCCTATCCTGCCCTTTCGTCTGGCCCGATCTTCCCCGAGGCGGGCTCTTCGTCCCGAGCCGCTTTCTGCTCTCGGCGGGCCCCGGGCCTGGCGAGGGCCCGCGGAGGCCGACGGCGGTGCAGACCCTTCGTGCTGAGTTCTGTCCACGCAGCGGGCACGTACGATAAGAGATCGTGCTGCAAGACAATCTCTCGGGCCACCTTTAAGTCGGGCGTGTCCCTACAGGGGGGACTTTCGACGACAAATAAAAAATACTCAAGAATAGCCAAAACATAATCGAAAAAGTAATATGGGACTTTTTTTTTTTTTTTTTTTTTTTTTTTTTTTTTTTTTTTTTTTTTTTTTTTTTTTTTTTTTTTTTTTTTTTTTTTTATATATATTATATATATATAATATATATATAATTATATATTATATATATATATCTATATCGTCGAAAATCCCCCTGTAGGGGGACAGGCCCGACTTAAGGACACCTCCTCCGTCGACTCTGAGCTTCGTAGAGGGGCCCCAGGGCTATGCGGGCCCATCGGGAGGCAAGAGCACATCATGGGGCACCTGCTTGGAGGCCAACATGCTGTCTGGTGTGCCCGCAGGGCGCTGGTTGTCAGTGCTTGGGCTGCCCCGGGTGGCCTCCGCGCGGTAGCCTTCCAGGTCGCCGTGCCCAGCGTGGCGGTGGCCCTGCGGCCCGAAGCAGAAGCGCAGCCGCCACTCCTCCAGCGCCGGCGGCCCCGCCCTCGGCCAAAGGGGGTCTCGGAGAGGGCGGGTCGAGGGCTCCCAGCTCGAGAAATTCGCCAGTGGCGTGTGGACCCAGACCTCCACCGTACGAAACACATCAAAACGATGTTACTCTCTCAATCTTCGGCCTCCAGGGGCCCTCGCCGGGCCCTGGGGCCGTAAAAAACAGCCCAGAAGCCAGCCCTGGAGGAAAGGTCGGGACTTCGGAGATCCTTTGTGGTAGAACTCAAGACGTCGGGTATCTGAGTATCTGGCGGCTCGAAAAAATCAAGCTGGCCAGGCTCTCCCCACCTTGGGCTTCTGGAGGTCAGTTTTGGGCCCTGCCCAAGAACAGCTGAGGGCGAAAAACCGGCCTCGGGGAGGTGTTGGAGAAAGGCAGGGGGCCCACATCTCGAAGCCGAGCCGCCAGACGCCGGGGAATTTCCGGAAGTCCTCGGCCCTCTCTGCGCCCCCCTGGGGGGCTCTGCGAGCCTCTGGGGACCCCCGTTGGACAGTTCTGCCGAGGGTGGACAGGACTCCACTTGGCAGAACACCCGGGGCCAGCTTTGGCGGGCGCTGGCCCGCCCAAAGCTGCAGCCGCAGCGCCCGCTCGAGAACCGAGAGGGGCAGGTCGCGAGTCGACCTGGCAAAATGAGGGTTCCATCGGTGTCCGATTCTGGAGCTGGGAGGCCTCAGACCCGGGCGTCGCGGCAGAAACCCTGAGGTCTGTTAGTTCTTAAAATAAGACCGTAGTTGCTCTAACATGCAAAATAACATGGGGTTCTTATTATAAGATCGTGTTACATGTTGTAACATATTTCTAGATTATAATATTGCAATGTATAATGTTGTGATATCAAAATGTTGAAACTAGGAAATTAATCGATAAATTTCATATTTTCAGCATTTTCGATTAACTTATGCATGTGTGCGCGTGTTCTCGTTCGCACCGCATCGAAGAATGACAGCGCTGCCCTTGAGTTCCAGATTGACGAGAGAGGGAAAAGAGAGCAGAAAAGGATGAGGAGGAAGAGGGGGGAGGAGAGAGAGAAAGAGAGAGAGAGATAATTGAGAGAGAGAGAGAGAGAGAGGGAGAGAAGGAGAGAGAGAGAGAGAGGGAGAGAGAGAGAAAGAGAGAGCGAGAGAGAGGTGAAAGAGGAGAGAAGAGGAATACAAAGGAAAGAGGAGGGAGAGAGAGAGAGAGAGAGAGAGAGAGGGAGAGCGAGAGAGAGAGAGAGAGAGAGAAAGAGAGAGAGAGAGAGAGAGAGAGAAAGGGCTCTTCCGCCTCCTCGCCGCGGCCCGCGGCTGAGGGCTTTTTTCTCCTCGAGGCCCCCGCCGAGGAGAGCCGCGGGCGCGGCGCGCGCATGGCCCATGGCCCAGCGTCGAGGAGACGAGGCTCCGCGCCAGGCCCACGGACATAATGAGCTGATTATGTTGAGATCTCAACATAATGAGCTCATTATGTTGAGCAAGGAACGATGAAAAGGAAGAGGAGGAGGAGGAGAGAGGAGGAGGGGGAGGAGAGAGGAGGAAGAGGTTGGAGGCTGGAGAACACGAGGGGGAGGAGGAGGAGGAGGAGGAGGAGGAGGAGGAGGAGAAGGAGAACGGGGAGGACCACCGCGACCGAAGCGATCCCGATCGCTTCGATGACGATCGAAGCGATCGCGATAGCAATGTTCGCCGAGGCGCTGAGGCGTTGGCCATTTTCACGAAAATGATCAAGAACCCGACAGATTTCGATTACTCCTGCGACATGGAGTCCCTGCCCAACTTCGACCAGCTAAAAAAAAACACGGAGTTTCTGAACATGTTGAGGGTCGACGTGGAGGCCCATCAGGGCCCGCTGGTGCAGAAACCACTCCAGAACTTGTTCGAAGAATTCGCGAATTCAAAGGAGAGCTCTTGGAAGTTGGCGGACAAGAAAAAAGGTTGGGCTAAGTCAAAGGCCCAGATGGTGCGCGCCATGCTGAGGCACGTATCGCAAGCAATGTTGAAAGTGAAGGACCCTCGGAAAGCGCCAGAGTGGTTGGTCCCGTTCTTCGAGGCGGATGAACAGGCCACGCGGGGTTTAAATTTTCTGGGGCCGTAGTGCAGAACATGGGCAGGCAAGGGGGCAGCATTTGTTAGGACAGGGATGGGGGAGGGCCATTGGCAGCGCGGCCGAGCTCAGGAGTTCAGGTCTGTCGACCCCTGGGCGGGGGCGCGGCGCCATCTTCCATGCTGCAGCCTCCACTCCAGCCATCCCTTCTCTCTCACTCCTTTGTGCATTCCTTTCTTCCCTGTTTGATTCCTTGCGTTCGCCCTTCCATCGCCCTGCCCACTTGGATTTCGACTGCTTTCTTTTTCTCTCTTCAGAGGGGGGAAGATGGTGATATGCATGATTCAGAGCACTGAATCATGCCTATCCTCCTTTCCTCACTCTCTGATTCCTCTCTTCCCCCCTTTCATTGTCCTGCCTCTCTCCCTGGCGGGCTCGGCGGCGACCTCTGAGGTCTGTTAGCAAGAGAGGGAAGCGGACGGGGAGGGCAGGGGTCGAAGGGAGAGAGGGATGGAGGAGGAGAAGGATGAGCAGGACAAGGCGAGAGGGAGGCGGGGGAGGAGGAGGAGGATGAGAGCGATGACGATGATGAGGAGGAGGATGGGGGAGGAAACAACCATCTGCCCGCGGCGGCCCACCGCGCCTCTCCTCCCTCGGCCGACCGCAGGCGAAGGAGAAGAAGGCCACCGACCCGAGCAAGTACGTGTACGCGTGGAGCGAGTCCATGAAGGCCGGCAGGAGAGGGGAAGCGAGGAGGGAGGAAACCGCGAGAGGAAACGATCGTTTCCTTTCACTGTTTCCCCCCTCGAGGGAGAGCAGATTACACGGTACAGGGCAGGGGAAACGAGAAAGGGGTGAGTAGCAAGCCCACCGCAAATTCACTGGGAACTCACTGGGAACTCACTGGGGACTCACTGGGAACTCACTGGGAACTCACTGGGAACCCACCGCAAATTCACTCGAACTCACTGGGAACCCACCGCAAATTCACTGGAACTCACTGGGAACCCACCGCGAATTCATTGGAGAGATTCTATCTAGTTTAACGTTTTGGCGCGCCTCGCTCCCGAGAGCCGCCAGGACGTTGAACTGGAATCTAGTCTGCCCCAGGCCGCGTACAGGACGTACAGGAAGCGGGACCCTGAGTATTGCTTGCCGCTCGTCGCGCCGCCGGGCCATGACAAGAACGATCCCATCGTTGCGACGTTTCGGGATGGCTTCGAATGCACCGTGGAAGGCGCGCTGGAAAGGGGGGGGGGGGAGGCAGGGGCGGGGAGGGGGGTGATAGGAGCGGCGAGGACGAGCGCTCTGCCGAAGTCTGCAGAGACAGGACAGCGAGAGAGAGGAGAGAGAGGAGAGAGAGAGAGAGAGAGAGAGAGAGAGAGAGAGAGAGAGAGAGAGAGAGAGAGAGAGAGAGAGAGAGAGAGAGAGAGATGAGGAGAGAGAGATGAGAGAGAGAGAGAGAGAGAGAGAGAGAGAGAGAGGAGAGAGAGAGAGAGAGAGAGAGAGAGAGAGAGAGAGAGAGAGAGAGAGAGAGAGAGAGAGAGAGAGAGAGAGAGAGAGAGCGAGAGAGAGAGGGAAACACATCTATGTAGATACATCCTTTTGCTTGTGAGGAGGGGGAGGTTGAGGATGACGGAGCGTTCGCATTCGCATCTGAGGAGGAGGAGTGGAACGATGGGGGGAATGATTAGGGAGAGAAGAAGAATGAGGAGATGCGGAGGAGGAGAGGAGGAGGAGAGATATCAGGAGAAGGATTATCAGGACAAGGAGGAGGAGGAGGGAGTGCAGAGGGGGAGGAGGAGGAGGAGGAGGAGGAGGAGAAGGGAGAGGGCATGGATGGGGGGCATGGAGCGGGAATGGAAGAGGAAGGCGAGGGGCAGAAGGGGCAGCGCTGGGAACGACGAGCGAGCGAGTAGAGAGAGGAGAAAGGGGGAGGGGGATCATGGCTGAGTCGGCGCGCGCCTGGAGAGGCGCCACCTGGGGGGAGCTCGAGAAGCCGAGCCAGGACGGCCGCAAGGCCGGTTCGAAGAACAACTTCTTCAGGGGTGAGCTCGACGGCTACGGGGTCCACATCTTAGTTCGCGTTTGTCGCCGCCCCTGGAGAAAGAAGAGGTGGATGGGAGGAGGAGGAGGAGGAGGAGGAGGAGGAGGAGGAGGAGGGGGGAGAGGAGGGAGAGGGAAGGGAGGAGGAGGACAAGTAGGAGGAGGGAGATGAGGAAGACGAGGAGGAGGAGGAGAAGGAGGATGGGGGGGCAGGGAGAGGGGGAGGAGGAGGAGGAGGGGGAGGCGCTGTCGGCCGCCCCTGGTCGTCGACGGCATCGTTCTCGGCACTGAGCGCGAGGATCAGGATGAGGAGACGAAGGGGAGGTGCAGGGGTGGGGGGGCAGGGGCGCTGACGGGCAGCAGGATAATGATCATTCCCCCCCTCTCGAGAGGGAGGAGAATGAGGGCAGGATCTGATGAAGGGGGCCTGGATGAGGGATGGTAGTTGTCTAGACAGCTTGTCTTCAAGGCCGATTCTGAAGTTGAGACGTCAGAACCGACCATGAAGATCACTTCTCCACCAGGTGGTGCGAAGGCAGCGTAGCAACGTCAGGGCCCCTTGCATACTTAGGTGTACGCTACCCGCTACAACAGGAAGGAAAAGAAGTTCCTGGCGATCTTCCAGCATACTGCTGACACCTCTGGGAAGAATGGGATCATGATTTTGAACCTGCCGATTCTCATCTTTTCGGAAGAGGCCGCCGACGAGACCTGGGTCGCGGACATCGCCAAGAAATTCTGCAAGGGCAAGCTGGATCGCGACGGCATCCAACAGGCGAAACTGAAGTTCATGAAAGAGAAACGGGCGTCCTTGAAAAAAATGAAGGCCGATGAGGGCACCGCGATGAAGAGGCCAGCCGCGTCAGAGAAACGGGCGTCCTTGAAAAAAATGAAGGCCGATGATGACGATGGCTCGGACGAGAAAAGCGATTCTT